TTAATATATACAATGATTAATAGTTAAGCTTCACACAAAAATATTGCTCTGTCCAACTGCAAATGCCGGTTCACAGCATCACAGGTTGATCCGACGGGGGGAGGGGAGTCCAGGGCCCAGGCCGATATGTCCGGTTTTCGCGTCACACAAATGTGGCAATACTAGTGCACACACACACACACACACACACACACACACACACACACACACACACACACACACACACACACACACACACACACACACACACACACACACACACACAAAAAAAAAAAAAAAAAAAAAAATCACACACAAATTCACACACAAACTCACACAAGCAAACATGCCCAAACGTATAGTAATGCACTGAAGATATTCAGAGATACGGATTAGGTCACGTTATAATCAGGGATTCTTGTTATCAGATAAAATACTTTACAATTTTCACAAGCGCCACAACAAATTATGTTTTTTTTTGTAATGGAATGCAGTATGGAGATAAGAATTTACGCTATTATATGATAATTGTCCTTCATTCTTGTAGTGTTGTTATTTTCAGCCACCTGACATGGCTTATCGTAAAAGCATTTTGTCAGTAACCAATCTCCGTCTCCAGTATGTTCTGTACACGAATTTTTTCTTATCTCTTAGTGGTCATTAACGGGATACGTTATCAACCTTTGCACATTTCCCAGAATAGCCTAACTCATATAGGTGATGTAATACTTCGCTGTTTCATCCTCCAAGTACGCACACACGAACGCACGCGCACACACACGCACGCACGCATACACACACACACATTATGTGTGTAAGTACATATCTATATCTATCAATCTAACTATGTATCTATCCATCTATCTATAGACATATATGTGTGTGTGTGTGTGTGTACGTGTGTGTGTGTGTGTGTGTGTGTGTTTGACATATATATGTGCATACATATATGTATATATATGTATGTATATATATATATATATATATATATATATATATATATATATATATATATATATATATGCATATATGTAAATATGCATATATACACGAGAAAATGGCATATCGCCTTGAGAAGTCAAAACGTAGGTGTCGTAGGAGAAGTCGCCGCCGTGGCATAGGTGTTAGTGCGTCGAACTGTTGTTGATTAGGAAGGGCATCCAATCAGGCAAGGGTGGCAATGCCAAATAACCTCTCAATAGTGAATTGAGAGATCCCTGTGTCCTGCAGTGGAATAAATGGCTGGTAAAAGAAATGCCGCGATGATAAAGTGCATAAAACACTGGACTCCGATCCTCGTGGTCGCGAGTTCAATTCCCCGCCACGGCAGTTGTAAAAAAAGCCTGCGCTCCGACTATTGGCGCGAAAACGACATATCGGCTTGAGAAATCAAACACATGTGTCGTAGTCACCGCCATGGCAAAAGCGGTTGATTAGGAAGGGCATCCAAATGACCTCTCAATACTAAATTGAGAAGGGCCTATATCCTATATGGCTGTTGAACAAACAAACAAATATGGATATATGAGTGTATATACATATACATGTGTGTAGGGGGCCGTCGTGGTACAGTGGTAACGCGCGAGGCTGTGGGCCGGAGGGTCCGCAAGCACACGGGTTCGATTCCCGGCCACGGGCCGACGTTAGGAAGGGCATCCCCTCGGGGTAACGGTCTCCACCACCTGCCAATTCCTGCCTGTCCTTCACGAGGCAGGCCCGTCCTAGCCCTTGATCAAAAAGGGAGTTTCGTGACGTTAAATGAAATCAAATACATGTATATATGTGTGTGTGTGTGTGGTTCATACCCAGCTAAAGGCTGGGGATGAACCTATGGCATGGGGCTTGCATGCAGTTTTGACTGCCATCTGGCAGTCTGGTAACATTCCCCCTGACCTACTGAGGGGCGTGGTCATTCCTCTCTAGAAGGGGAAAGGGGATGATTGGGACTGTAGCAACTACCGATCGATTGTGATTTGCGAAGTTCTAGCTTCGCCCGGGCCTTCGGCTATGGCCCGGCCTGTGTCAGCTTATTAGGGCTGACTCATTTCGATCTATGGCTCTCGGTGCTTACCGTGGCGGTGGGATTGCCAGCAGGCGCTCCTGCTGCCACGGGGTAAGCGAATCGCAAAGTCTCTTTACCAGCACGGCAGCTGTTGTCGGGGGTCCCTGTCTCAGGAATTGTGTGTGTACACAATTCTCTAAGTAATGTAGCAACTACCGTTGCATTACACTGCTCAGTATACCGGGCAAGGTTTTCGCTCACATTCTTCTGAAACGTATCCACGACCACCTATTAAAGCACCAGAGACCGGAGCAATCTGGATTCACCTTTGGCAAGTTCTCAATACAACGAATCCTAGTGCTTCGAGTAATTGTGGAACGCTGTCGTGAGTTCGGTCATGGGTTGCTTGCAGCCTACAACGACCTCAAGAAGGCGTTTGACTTGGTGTATCGAGAATCGCTATGGGAGTTTCTGAAACTTAAGGGAATTCGACACGGATAATTGGCCTATTAACAAACC